TACCAAACACCATTTGTAAAATGTAGAATCGAGGAGGATTTTTTTTTTATGAAATATATTGAGTTTGTTTTAATTTCGCGTAAAGTTACACGAGGGCTATCTGCAATAGCCGGGTCTAATTTAGCAGTGAAAGACGACAGGGAATAGCTAGTAATTATCACACACCGCCAACTCTTGGGATACACTTTCACTAACGATAGTGGGATTGACCGTCAAATTAGAACGCCCCTCATAGCTGAAAGGGCGAGCATGTTTGGTGGGACGTGGATTCGAACCCGCGACCCTCAGATTGCGAGTGAAGCGCTCTAAATACCTGGCCATGTTGACTAACTGCTTTCCCTATAGTTTTTGACTGCTAAATTAGGGATGGCCAGCGCAGATAGCCCTTGTGTAGCTTTGAGCGAAATTCAAAACATACCAAATCAAACCCTATGCAGTCGGTTTCCCAGCAGTGATAACATTATATAAATTCCATTCATATACATTATTTATTGATTACATCTACATCGTCGCAGTACGCGCTAATGGCATCTTTATGTTTACCTTATTCTATTGTTTTTCTGTTTTTGTTGTAATTTGTTACAGTATGTGGGTATATTGATCAATATGTCCATATACTGTAAAAACAACAACAAAACCAGAAAAAAATGGTAGACGATAAGCTGCATTGGTAAACCTTGTCACAAAATATACAACACAATGAGCACATTTAGAACAAACTTCATATTAACTCAAGTTGTTTTCAGGATATATTTATTCAACCGTTGCATGTTTCAAACAGCTGGAATATGAAACTGGTATTCATATCATTTCCATATAAAGCCATATATTTCAAGTCGCAGAAAGAAGTACCTATGGATTCCTGTGTGATCGGACTGTTGAAACATTGTCCTCGTACACTCGAGAGCTCATGGAAAGCCTGCGGAGAAGTGGGGTGAGCTTTACACTAGACAGCCTTACAATATAGTTTCTTGCAATAAAATTTATGCAGTAGGGATACTATCAAGATGCATGGTCATAAGATAGAACATAACCGGGTGTAGAGACATGGACTGTTACGACGTGGTGAGGCTACAAAATAGTTTTAATACAACATACTCAGCCCACGTAAAAAGCTTAATCTTTTTTTTTTTTTGAGATGTAAATCACTGAATTGCATTTGAGAAGTTAACTATTTTGTTTATGTTGAAATTAAAGTAAATTTCACCAAAATACAGACCACTTGAGTAGAATAAACCTATTCTAATGGATGATTTTCATTATTATTATATAAATAATTCATAAAAAATAAAAGTTTAATCTACAATGCTCTTAAGTGTACTTAAAGTATAACCTTCTTTTGAGAATTGTAAACCAGTAATAAAAGACATGCTTCACACATTTGTGTATATTATATATAAGTATTCAAGCGTATTTCTTAGTGGGCAGTTGGATATCTTCCATTAGGATGTCTGCATAGGGAAAACTTTTTGAGCTTTGGAAAATGCATATTTGAAAGTGTATCGATCACATACAAATAAATCCATAGAATTAAAATTAGTAGGCAAAGTCTTAGATAAAAAGAAATACTCTAAGTGTATCTGCTTACAGTAAGAGATAAAAAGTACATCGTTATGGAGAAGATTAGCAGGGATTGTATATGCATCTGGATAATTTTAGAAGAACAACAGGACTTGTGGATGTAGAATTAAATTGATGCCAGCTCAACGGAGTACATAAGTATAAAAGACAACTAAAAGAAAATGTTAAAATAAAGTTAAAATAGTTCATTTAACCATAAAGCTATAAGAAGTAAGTTTCATATAGTTTGTTATTCTTTTTTATAAGATCAAGTTAGTAACATTCAATGATGATTTTAATTCATTAAGCTCACCAGAATCTGAGTTAGGAAAAATATTAGCGATTATTCGTATTTCCATTCGAACGGAAACATGTGGAAATGGCATGGATTTCATCCAATTTTGAGGCTTGCACTAAACTTTATATTATTATACTGCTGAAACAAATCACACGTTAGTATTCTAGTATTACTTTGTTTTAATAATGTTTAAGCACTCTAGCATCAGTTTGTTCTAATAATGAAAGTAATAATATTAAAGTGCAGAGCAAATAACTCAATAGAATCTCTTAATGTGGTACACGAAGAAATTTAATCTTGAGTTAATCTTACATGTATAATTTATGCATATAACAAAGGATATTCGAATGCATTGTCTAACAGATTCAAGATTTACTTAAAAAGTAAAGTGTTTTGCTCATATACGTATTAAGTCAAGTGGTAATATTTATCTTATATGGTATTTTAATCTTCATTTTGTATATCTTACGTGAACCTGGTTCCTTCTCTGAATTTTTCAATCTTAGACGGTTTGGTAAACTTTAAATTGTTTTGACTTTTTTTTTGTTTAACTTATGCTAACTTGGATCTTTTTATATGTTTATCTCTCATTAAAACTTACGAGAATAAAATGCAGAGGTCTAATTCTGAGTTTAAAGACCCATCTCACAGAGGCTTTAGTGTATCGGTCAAGTTCTTCTATTATCTCTAATTACTTTTACAGCTACCACAAGGGGAACATTAACCGAAAATAAACCCCGATAGGACACCTGCCGGTGCCACGTTTGCTCCTGTTAGTTTGTGACTAGCAGATTAGTGTTCAACAAACCTATGCCTATACCCCCATCATGCTGTGTCACCTCCCGGGGTAATTTTAGCCATCAAAGTAACTGTACCTTGTTAACAATAACCCTCAGTTATACTGTAATTTGGGCATAACAACCACCAGTTTAGCTGTGTTTGGTTGACTACAACCCACAGGGAAACTGTATCTGGTACACCAAAACCATCTGGGTAATTATTAAGTGGACTGGGAGACTGTACTTGCTGAACTATAACCCACAGAACCACAGCAATCAGGCTACCTGTACTTTGTGGATGATAACCATCAGAAAGGCTGTACTCGTTGAACTATAACCCACAGAGAGACAGAACCACAGCAATCAGGCTATCTGTACTTTGTGGATGATAACCATCAGAAGGACTGTACTTGGTGGACTATACTCCACAGAGAGAATATACTTGGTATATCACAATCATCAGGCTAACTGTATGTGGTAATAACACCTCTGGTTCACCTCCATTGTGCCTGCTAAATTTGGACCTGATTGTTTTAAAACTGTGGGAAGAGTTCGCGGATAAACAAGCATGTAACGCGAATTAATAAAGGGATATGCTGTTATTCATTGGTCAACTATGTTATTAGTTTGAAATATGCTAAGTTTAATAGCTTTCAATGAGCATTGTTATCTGTCTTTGTATACTTTACACGTAATGTAGCCCTTTTCCATATACTTCACATGGAACATGAATTATTCTGTACACTTTATGTGTAATGTATAATTAATTCAATGTGTTGTTTGGGTCGTAACTCTTTACTTCACAATATATTTTACTTCTTCTGGATTTTATATGACTGATTAGTAGTTTGATTAATAGTAATCAACAAAAAATCTTGAAGCGTTACTTCATTAGTAGATTGATACATAAGTAGTATGTTTATGTGGTCCAACTTCTGTTTATATTGAAAACGGTTGGTCCTTCTTTCTCGTGTAGTTTAATACAATTCAAGAATTTTCCATGAGTAGTTTCACTATTTCTATATTTACATTTGTTTGGTTCTGTCACTGTTTATTTATGATATAATTTAGCTCTTTATTTTATGAATACTTCATATAGAAGTTATGTGTGTAATAATGCGTAATTCTAAGTTTTTACTCTGTATTTCAAGTATAAAGATAAACATTAACTGTTTTTCAATCCTATATGCATCTTGTTTTTTTTGCATAAATTTTGATACGTTTTGATAAGATCCCTTAATATCTATATAAGTCATTTTAAAATTGTATTTATTAAACCAATAAGAAAAATTATCTCGCGTTATTTCCCCTTCTATTTTTCAAAACGGTAAGTAAACGTTCGAATTGTCAATTGACCTCTCTTCGGAAATTTTGTAACATGATACTATAGAAAAACTACAAAAGTTCACAAACTTTACGGTTATTGAATCCCCAAAGTGTGTTTGTTCTTTGGCAAAGAATCGACTTCTGTGGCCTAAGTATCCAACCTGGTGAGTTACTTTACATAGAAATTTCAAAAGATAATAATAAATGAAACAAAGACAGTTTTTAACTTCTTCGACTTGTAAATTTCACCAAATAACATTTCTTTCAGCTAATAACATGCTACTTTTGAAAATCTGGACTTTGTAACTACATAAAAAATATCTAAAATTATTACTTATGGAAAATAAGCTTATCACTGAAACATATTACAAAACCCTGGGGATAAGCCAGTCAAGAAAAGGAGATAGAAAATGCTTTATACACTTTATGTACTTACAAATTCTATAACTAGAGAAGAAATAAAAAAGTAGAAGAAGTGTTGTGATTATCGTTAGTAAATTTTACTAAAGTAATTAGAAGATACCTATTTGATGAAGTCATAAATTATAGTTACTATCATAATTAAAGCACCTGAGAGCTACCTATTTAACTTAAGAAACTACAGGTAAACCAAATAATTTAGGATCATAAAAATGCGAGAACCCACGTATTAACGAGATTTAGTAATTTTTGAATAAATTTGTCTCTTGTTATGAAGGTCTAACGGTAATTTTGTTCTATATTTTCTAAACTAGATATTTTAAATTGAATGTAAAGAACACTATTTAGTGCAGACGGTAGATAAATATAGAACATTATATCAATTAACCAAAAAAATTAAAATATTTTAAAATTGTAAAATTGTTCTGATTTGTCGACTCGAGATAAACACGCATGCGTCCTTTGTATGTACGTAGTTCAGTAGGGGCGGGTGTTTCTGATCCGGTCAGAACTCACCTGAACTTATAGAGTGACGTTGATTCGGGGACGAAGAAGTGGGTGGAGGCAAACGATATAGTTTCCTGACAACTGCAAAGCACTTCACATCTGCTGCCAGATCCGTCAGAATGTGTGTCCGGCAACGCCTGTCCTGGATTATGATTCTGATTGTATTGGGGCTCTACAGCAACACAGGTAAGCCCAGTACAATCAAATAAAGAAGCGATTATTAATCAATAATACATTATTAAACTCATATGTTTTTCCTTAGCACATCATCCCACTTATAGCATGTATTATTTTATCCACTTTGTTTATTTGTAATAAGATAAGATTTGTATGTAATAGAATACTTGTTAATATATAGACATGGGACAGTTTAATACAGCTAATAATTTTTAAGCCCTTATTTTGCCTTATCTACCCGTCTGTTTGTCTTTTCGGATATTAACGCAAACACTCAGAGGTTATCTGCGCTAGCCGTCCGTAATTTTGATCTGACAGACGAGAGGGAAGACAGCTAGTCAGAAGCAGCACCACCAATTCTTTGGATATTCTTGTCTCTTCTCTGATCGAACAGTGTGATTTGACGGTTACCCTAATAACACACTCATGGCCCCAAAGTGCTTAGCTCGATTTTCGTTTTGTTTTGCGTTAACAACAGGTAAACTATAGAGTAGGAGTTATTGGTTTCTTTGTAGATTAAAATCACCATTAAAAGCATGCTTATATACTCTGTGAAAATTATTAGAAAAGGTGCATTTTAAGAACCGCTTTGTTCCTGAATGAGCATGATCGTCTGACTTTGTTAGTATCTAAAACTTTTAGAACCCATTCAGTGACAAGTGTGAAAACACAATTATTTCACTTGGTGATTTTGATCCTCGTACAACGAGCTCAACTTTTTAAAATGGTCCACGTGTTTTCAAGTTCCACATTTCTTTCAGACTGTCACTCTTTTACGTCAATTTCACGCTTATTAAGCTTTATTTTTGAGATATTATGAGATGGTGAAATAATACATTTACAAAAGCTGTCATTTTAATGAATTAATGACGTGTCTAGCGACAGTGATCTCTGAAATCAAATTAACAATGACTTTTTTCTAAAAGTTTTGTTAAAATTGATCCATATCTATAGAACAGCTTTATCTCAATGGGATATGTTTCAAAATAGTTTTCATCAAGGAAAAATTCTGATATATTTTTACTTCCCAAATGGTCCTTTGCTTAAAATCAAAATGTATTAGAAATACCAAAACAGCTGTATTTCGCAGTATCTACTAATTCTAACAATAATGATGAAATTGTAGATATTGAAACAGAATATGAAAACTCCTAAGGATCTAATAGAAGATCAATAATATACAATAGTTTATAGACCATAGATAACCACACGTTGTATTATGACTTCTAAAGTGTTTTGCTAAATATTAAGTAAATATGTTAAAGTGGAAAATAATACCATTTTTTCATAAACCCAAAACGACGGACAAGTTCAAAAGATGAGAAGAGAAATAAATCGGAAAGCACGTCTTAAATGTATTTTATCAAACTCACACATTAAAGGTGTGATTATACCAAATCAAATTCCAAGTTTTCTGCTTATGACTTATTGGTGATGAAAAGATAGCTAGACGAGTGACAGTGCCTAGAGTGTGTTATAGTTCTTTAAGTTTAGGTAGATGAAAATAATTCGATATGTTAATTCTTAAGCGTCGTGTAAGTAATTAATATTTTTCACCGATCAAAATGAAATGTTATAACAGATTCTAAGTTTCTCATTTGTTGAATGGTAATTGTGTTTGATTTTTTTAATAACTTGCAATACACTGAAAGTAAGGAATGTCTAATGAATAGACTGTGAAACGTAAAATGTACCAGTTGTTCCTGTAATAATAAAAAAATTAAAGTTATATTACAATAAGAGATGATAATAATTCGTTATGAAGTAACATTATTTCTGTTAAAAGATGGCTTATTCATATGTCTATTACAAGATGGCTTAGAAATGTTTCTGTTACAAAATAGTTTCGTAATATTTTTGTTATAACATACTATAGTAATATGTGTTGAAATTTATATTTTCAGTAAAATATTTGCTACAATACAAGATAGAAATATATCTACTAGAAATAGTTAGGTAAAATTTCGTTTTCTAAATGATGTAGTAGTATTTTTGTTAGAAATTAATCTGTAACAATTGTGTTATAAGACGATGTAGTACAATTTCTGTTACAGTATAATGTGATAATATTTTGTTAGAAGGCGACATGTTAATATATTTTTTAGACAATGGTATCGCAGCATATGTCATTTGCGATAATGTAGTACAATTTCTGTTACAGTATAATGTGATAATATTTTGTTAGAAGGCGACATGTTAATATATTTTTTAGACAATGGTATCGCAGCATATGCCATTTGCGATAATGTAGTACAATTTTTATAAAATATACTATTCATAAAAGAGACTATTCTTATGTAAATGCATGTTCAATAGAAATACGGTCTGGTTAAATGCTAGACAAGATCTCTTAGAAGAGTTGCCTTGTAGTTTCAGAGTATCTACTTTTCCAAATCTTTGTGGTTTATTACTTATCCTCAACAATTCAGTTTTATCCAAAGAAATGATTAATTTCATAAGCATTGTGTTATCACAATGTTTTCTAGGTTTTCAAGGAACTGTGTTATCTACAAGTTACGTAAGAGATGCATCTAAAACTTTTAAAACACGGAATGTTTGAATCTGAAAAGGTTTCTTTTTCAACAACTTCTATTGACATTAGTTATTGACAAAAACAGGTCAAACAATTCTAAGCATTACTAAGATTTCTATTCAATAAATAAAATTTGAATTTCATGTTGACAAAGAAAGCAACTAATTTCTATTGTGTTGCATTACTTTTAATCCTTTAGTTTTGTAAAATTCTTATTTTTATATGAGTCTGACTAGATAATAAGTCCGCGTGCTTATACTTGTGATTTATAGTATAGCAATAAATTTTATTATGTATATAAATTATTAAATTGGATACAAGTTCTTTCTAAAATGCTCAATTGGATTGGAATTTGGTAAACGTACTGTATAAGAAAGATGACTGAAATCATTATCATGGTCGTCTAATCAATTTCGAATAGTACAAGCGTGGTAGATTATTACATTATCGTTCTGAAAGACTTTTTGTTCAACAGAATAGAAATAGAACATGATCAGCGAACGTTCAAGGTAAAATAGCTATTACCTTCGTTGCGGCTTTTTCGAAGTACATCATTTTGTTTGAGGATTAAGAGGAAAGAACGGTTAATAAAGTAGAACGTTTTAACAATATAATTTTAAACATAGCATCATATATTATGCTCACTGTACCTTGAAAATGACACAGACATAAACGTTAATACTAAACTTGTACTCTAAAGTTTAAGTCATTTTTCAACTTAATATGACTTCTCTGATTTTTATTTCGCCATATATATAAATTAACACTACATTCAGAGTACAACTCTAGGTCTTATCCTCCTGTTTTTAAAGGAATCAATAAACTGTTTCTTTCCATATAACAACAGAACCTCAGACAGATTGTACTGTCGCAAAGTCATTCACTGTCCAATGTCCACCGGTGGGACAGCGGTAAGTATACAGATTTACATCGCTAGAATCCGAGGTTCGGTTCTCCGCGGTGGACACAGCCGATAGCCCAATGTGGCTTTGCTCTAAAAATAACAAATCCTGAGATTAGTAATACTTGGGCCTGGCATGGCCAGGTAGTTAGGGCACTTAACTCGCAATCTGAGGGTCGCGGATTCGAATCCCCGTCCCACCAAACATGCTCGCCCTTTCAGCCGTGGTAAAAGAGTAGCCAAATAGTTGGCGGTAGGTGGTGATGACTAGCTGCCTTCCCTCTTGTCTTTTACTGCTAAATTAGGGACGGCTAGCGCAGATAGTTCTCATGTAGCTTTGCGCAAAATTCAAAACAAACACATCATTGTCCAAAGTTTACAGTCTAAGTGCATCTGAATCTGGGTTTTCCTACTTGCATCTGGGATAAACAGCTTTCTAACTAATCGTCCTCCGCAAATATCCGGGCTTTTTAATTGTCATAGTCATGGTCCAATCCAATCACTATTGGCCAAGTGGAACACAATCTGGCGTCTGCTACACTTACAGTCCTGTCCATCGTCTTTCCTCCTGATCTGTCACCAGCTGTTCGAATCACACTCTTATCTAGTAAGAGACATATTTCTTCAGGACTGCTATCTTTGTTGACACTACAACAGATATATTTAAAAACAGCATTTCAATGACACTTAGTGGTAATGACACTTCTGATACTAATTTATGTGCCCCTTTGATAGTCGAAAAGGTCTTTGTTTTGCTAATTATTTTGCAAAATAACTGTGATATAAGCATATCTGTATGTTTATATGGTTCACCAATCTTTTAACACATCACCATAAAGATTACTGTAACCTTTGGCACTGTATTGTACTATAAATATCACTGTAATCTTTGGTACTGTATTCTACTATAAAGATTACTGTAATCTTTGGCACTGTATTCTACTATAAAGATTACTATAATCTTTGGCACTGTATTCTACTATAAAGATTATTGTAATCTATGGCACTTTATTCTACTATAAAGATTACTGTAATCTATGGCACTGTATTGTACTATAAAGATTACTGTAATCTTTGGCACTGTATTCTACTATAAAGATTACTGTAATCTTTGGCACTGCATTTTACTATAAAGATTACTGTAATCTTTGGCACTGTATTCTACTATAATGATTACTGTAATCTTTGGCACTGCATTCTACTATAAAGATTACTGTAATCTTTGGTACTGTATTCTACAATAAAGATTACTATATATTTTGGCAGTAGTACTAAACGACTAAAAAAAAATAGGTTTTTAACTTCAATGACAGCATTGAAAGGAGAAACTCCTGGTGTTGGTTAACATTAATAACTACGTTTTGAGAAGAGAACAGCCATAATAATTCTGTCAAATAGAAGTTTCTACTCATTACAATCTGTTAATGGGATACTGCCAAAGACTAGGATGATTTTTACGATAGAGTCGTTATAGAGCTCTGAAAATTTGAGATTCTTCTCTTAGCAGACTACAATAGCTGCATTGTAATAACAGAAACTTAATATCTTGAAACTCTATGGTAATGCTTTGTAAGA